TCCGTGTATAGTTGTGATAACTGTCAGTAGGCAGTGATAGCCGTGGAAAAGTCAATAGCTTTAGTGTCAATAAAAGAAAGTACATTGAGAAACGCCCAGCAAACAAGCTGACTTAAAGACGTTATTTTGACGTTAAAATGATGACAAATAGTGCTTGTTTGCTGGACGTTTATATCTGGAACGCATACACTGGAGTAATAGTAACAGTTAGATACGTGAAACTTCTTTCTTGACTTTTCAGTGAGTAATAAAAATAGAACGATAGTTGTATCGATTTGTGTCACCAAATGGAAAGCACCTATTGACGAAATAAATTGTTACACTTCACTGGTGACTGTTTCACAATTTCACGGCGATTGAGATTCAATTTTCCGATGATTTTTTTTTTCTTAATAAAAAGCATTTTGTATTTGTGTTAAAAATTCAAGTTCTTGTGTTAAAATTTGATATTAAATTGATATTAATTTGGTATTAAAACATATTCGATTGTTAATTTAGTATAATGTGATTATGTTATTCAAATATATTTTGTGTTATATTAATATTCAACATTCCTTAATGTCAAAATAACATAATTTATGAGTAAGTGAATAAATAACATAAAAATAAAGTGTTAAAAACGTAAATTCTAAGATGAACGAATAAAATACATAAATGTACTTTCACAGTTTGTAAGCAAACTGTGAAAGTATATTTTCTCAATAAAATTAACAAATTGTATCAGTAATTACACTTTTTGTGTCAATTTCTTTTACATAATGTTTGCAGTGTTACTTTCTAACACATTCATCTTGTGTTAAATTTACACGAAAATTTGAATGGACCGTTTGGGACGCGTGAACGTGTAAAATTAAACAAATTTTCCAACGGTGTAACGCTGCGTGAACAGGTTTACACGCTCACGTGCTGACCGAATAATCGATAATAGCGATCGATATGTGAATAGACGCACCGTGAAAGTAAAATCCGTGGAACAAATTGATGAAGGGTAATGTTATTGCCGGCACGAGCACGGCAGGCGGATCTCTTCTTCTTCTTCTTCGGCGGTGAATCAACCTTTAAAGAGCGCCATAGACGCGATGCGATTTCGCAAAATGTGAAAACGACGCTTCCACATTCCCCGCTTGCGCTCACTCGCTTCTCCGCTTTTGAACGCGCGATCGTTGACAGGCGCCTTTATTCAGGCGACTCTCAGACAATCAATATTTATCGTCGACGCTCAGGTAATGACAGCACCTGATAAACGTGGTAGAAATTAACTTTCTTGCGGGAAATTTAATTATCTCGCATTATTTCACAACCTTGTGTCGAAATATCTTGGAGAACATCATGTGCGAATTAAAACTATATTAAAATATACATTTTGCTTGAAATTAATAGTGTTAAAAATACCTTTAAAAAATATCCTATGAAAATTAGGATAAGGACGAAACATAAAAATAATCGAGGAATAAAGTATCGTTATTTATATTTTATATATTCTTCCTTGTTATTTATATTTTTATACTTTCAAGGTACTTACGAACGAAAAGCGATCGATGTCTTGATAAATCTGCTAATAACTGTTACTTTGGCGCACGCGACGTGAAATGGTATCGCTACTTTATTTGCCGTGCGTAAGTTCGTCGACCGGACGCACGGAAAACGTTTTTGCGCTTGCGCTTGCTATTATTGTAACGGTGTAGAAAATTAGTCACGATGCCACGGCCTGCAGAAGAAAACACTGTCAGGCACGCGTAACGTACTCACCGTAATTCCGAGGTCTTAAAATTCAAATTAGGATCGATTACGTGACGTCTTCTTTAGCTTTAAACTGTTAATAACCGATCGATTGTAGACGGAACGGATGCACTAAGTTGCAAATATTTTATCCTTGTTATTAATTTCTCTGTCATGGTCATTTCACGTCGGTATATCTTCTTTGAAGTTAAGATGAAAAAATGTCCTGTCAGTCCGAGTGTTATAAGAACCCAGGTCGCCTATTTGTTAAAGATGTAAGAGGAAGACATATCTGACAAAGTAGTTGATAAGTGTTCCTACAGCATTTGAATGTGATACCTCATTAATATTTCTTTATTTTTATATTGAAGAATCACGTGCTTATTCAAAATATTCGTGATAAATCTTGCTGCAACGACGATTGTCAGAAATTCTCCATATCAATTTATCGCTGTAAATCCGAAGGCTTGTATAATACAGTATTATTCAAAAAACAAATTTTAAGAAATCTAAGAAGAATTAATTAGTGACTTCCATTAATTAAATTTTTATTAATTTAATTTCGCGATTAAATTTTCAGAGCGTATGTATCTTGAAAGAAATGAAATGTGTGTTCCGAGAGTGTTCTAATCAGAAAATTGGCTAATTGGCTTACAATGCTCGGCACTTTGTACGATTAATCAGTCGTAGAAATACCTGAAACGAGAAGGATAATTGTATAGAGAGAATTACATTGTGCGCGGTGTTGCGTGACTAGATCTTCAAAGATGAAATAACGCATCGCTGTCTTTACCGCAACGATCGGTTCGTTCTTATTTGCATTGGTTGAAAGATGATTAGGGTGATGGGTTACGGTAGTAATACGCACGGATCGTCAAGTGGAACATCCCAGATCAGTTCCTAGAACGTGTATTACCATTTGCCGTTTAACACGATTATACCCATCTGTCCGATACGTACAACTCGCAATCGTAATCCCGGTCGTTACTCGCGAGACATTCCGCATATGTCGAGGAGAGAATCCCACGTTTCTCGGATCACGCTAATCTTATCAAGCAAGACAGACAAACAGAAATTGTATGCCTTCCTGTTTGAAAACGTTAGCCTATTAGATATTTTGCGTATTTATTATATTAGATTACTAGAGAAAATATAACATACTAACTATATATCGGCGGATCTACTGATAATTGTCTGAAAATACAAAATTTCAAAAGCTTCGAAATATAACTTCAACTTCTTTGTGTTTTAAATTTTTTCGAAACTTTTTATCCGTCAACAAAATAAATCTGTTATAATATATTAGTCATATAACAATAAACGATATTGCAATAAGCTTTGGACATACTCATTGATTAATTTATAGGAATCTATATATAGGAATCTTCAAAGATTCCACGTATTTTTACACGTTTAGTGCGGTTTTGAAGCATCTAAAAATTTATCTAGTTGCAGCTCTAAAAAAATATTATCAGCCCCTCAAAATAATTATGTAATTCAAATTAATTGCTAAAACATCAAAACTTTTTACGGCATTATCATCATGCTTAAGTATTCTATATAATTATTTTGATGGGAGGGGTGTTCCAAACATTTGTTTTCAAATCTGTATCTAATCTAGCTAAATATTTATTATTAACTTTTTTATCAATTCCGATTAACAATCGACGATTAATTCAATCATTACGATTACGTGAGAATTAAACACGGTTTGCCTTTGAAGAAGAAAAGTTCTGATATATTAAATTACTGTTGATACTTCTATGAGTTAAGCTCGTTTCTATCAATGTAGTTTAATTTTAATCTCAGTTCCACTAACTCTCTTCATCTTTTTCTAAGAATTAGAAAAGAATAAAGAGTAAATTAAACCGACATCAAAGTTAATCTACATTGATAAAAACACTAAAAACGAGTATTAATCATCGATTAATTTAACCGAAGATTGATGAAAGAGGCCTTTAGGCACTTCAAAACCGTTTTCTCTATATACATAGGCTCCGAAAATTCTCAATTTGACAACCAGATAGCATATCTGACAAAGTCGTTTGACAACACTTGCGATATCGATCTTGCTCTCCGCAAATGGATAAGTTTACACTAATAGCGTGAAAGTCATCGCCCGTTAAGTCGTGCTCTCACTCGACTCGAAGGGAATAAAAAGTCTTATTAAAATTAAAAGCCAAAGTACTGCGTAATAAGTGCGGAAGAAATAAAGGAAGTGAGACGTCGCGCTGTGCCAGTGAAGAAAGTGGAAGGTCGTCGAAGGTGGAAATACAACGTATATACGAGTGCAACGCGCATTTCGACATTCTTAAATCACAACGTTCCATCATGGACGTTCGCGCGGGTTGGAACCCGACCGCGACCGGTCGAACCAAGGGTTTTAAGTTCAGAGGTTATCTTATGTCATGGGAATGTTTGAGGCGTATATATGGTTGTACCGATGCGATGTTGAGATCACGATGTTCGCGAGTGTATATGTGCCCGTGCACGCGTGAAACTTAACACGACATTGTTTAGAAGTGAAGACTACATGTTCTGCAATATTTTTCATTTGACGATATAAATACGCGTTCATATATTTTTCCTTAATGTCAAAAGTGAGAGAATAACGGACTATTAAGGACAGTGAGAGGTATCAGTCTATTCTAGGATATTAGTTTTTGTTCCGGGATAATAATGTTTTTCTGATAACAGAAATTAATTAATTCATTCTCAATAAATTTTCGAATAGTTTCGCCTATATGTTTGTGTACAGTTTAATTACGCGATGTGTAATATACACAATTACGCGCTCTCTGTACTCTATACAATTTCTAAATTAATTAATCAATTTGCAGTAAATTTTAGTTTCCAATTACTTTTACTATTACACAGCGTAATGCAGAGTTACATGCATTTTACGAGTGGTATTATATATTACTTCATTTTGCAAATTTATAAGCTTTGTATAAATTAGCAGAACTCTGGTTGCATAACATCTCGATAATTTTGCGCGTTCAAATTAAGATTTAGAAATAAATTAGACAATAAATAAACTGTCCTTTTAATCTGATTAACGTAACGTTAATCAGTTACAAAAAAAGTAGAGTAACTTCGTTTTCAATCTTCAATTTTTTATCGATTATCTTACCAAAAGCTTCAAATATTTTATATTTTAATCCATTTTTTTATCTCTCCCCCAATCGCCTCAATTTTTCTTAAAATACAGCCAAATAACATCGATATTAATATATACAAGTATTTTCCTTCTAACGGCATATTTTCTATTTCTGTTTCAGGATTCATAAACTGCAACACCGCCAACACGTTGCAGTCGCTCGCGCAGCTACATGGTAAGTGAAAACTAGTTGTTAATTCCTCTTTCCTCTCTCTGTATTCCCCTCGTGCATCCCTCGCACGCGGGTATATACGTCCTGCGTTACGTTTATTGCCAGAAGATGATCACCGGAGGGAGGAGAGCCACGCGGCCCGCGGATTCAATTAAAATTTATAGTTATGTAATACCTCCCCGGTGCAAGAGAGGTATGCCTGTCTTCCTGGCTAGGCGGCAATCGGGGAAACGTGGCCCTCCTCCGCGCGACGTTCACTTCCTCTTTCTTCATCGTAATCACCACCGGGGAAGGACTAGCTTCGCAACCTGTACTTTGCTACCGTAGCCGAGCCGAGTCGCGGCAAAAATACTGTTTTTGATTTAGCGCGAGCGCCGCGTCGCCGTCGCCGCCGCACCGTAAATTTCACGCGAGAGTGAAGGGTTCGTCGCGGCTTTTTGCGCTCCCGTGAGTTGAACTAACAAGGCTAGCGCGAGCGCAAATACACATCCGAAGATTCCGTGCTTGTAAATTGATGGGTATATTGGCTCATAAATCGTTATGTAAAATGCTAACCCGTCTACCTCTCTCGTTCTCGTATGACCGCAAAAATATATGTAGACTCGTTTGAGCTCGTTAACATTTTTAGCGTCGATGTTTTAGCACCAATTCCTTGCAGCAATTTCAGATGGTACCGTCGACGTTTCGCGAAGATACTGGAACGCGATACGTAGTCAGAGTCGTCTTACCCTTTCGAGACTTTGTATTGGAACGTTCTATGTGAATCACCTTGATTTTGCCCCGTTTGTCTCGCCAAGGAAACGCGCAGAACGAATTTTCTTAAGCGGATTGTATTGCTTTCAAGAAAGAGGGTTGATAAATACATCAGGCACTTTAATTAAATCTCGTAATGTGTGCGGCCCGTCCGTGTTCGTTGTTCGTTCGTGTCGTTGATCTTCAGCGCCGCGCACCGGGGTTTCGATCGTAAAGATGTCCCGGTGCAATTTCTCTTCGTGGTGTTCGTCATTAACACCACAAAGGCTTACCGGGAAACGCAATCGCGCTCACGAGCGCGAGAAGGACAGATTTATTTTCATAACGTCGCGAGAATCTAAAAGTAATTACCACGTTTCTCATGGGGCGTTTAGGATTTTATTCTCTGAACATCTCTAAGAGGATATCCCCAAGTCAATCTTGGATTCGCGTAAAATTTCATCAGTGTGTAAAATGTGTTGTTATATATTATATGAGAATTATCTTTTTATTGATCGAGATTTTCAGATTTCTTATGTTCTCCTAAACTGTTAAAAAGCACTATCACAATTTAAGAACGTTAATTAAAAATATTAATTAGGAAGTTTTTGCAATATCATTTATCCAGATACGGTGAACGCTAAGATAAGGTTATCTTCTTCTTAACAATTAATTAAGAAAAGGATAACGTCACTTTAGCGTTCACCGTATCTGGATTTACATTATTGCAAAAACTCCCTATTACCTACTCTGCAATATGTAAACGAAAAAGTTTTTTTAAATTTGGCAATTATATAAGTATATATGTATGAAATGTCTCAAAGAATAACTATTTAAAAGTTTTTAAAAAGATACATTTTGTAAGTTACATATTGTGAGTTATAACATTTTTATACATTTTAAATTTCTTTTACGTTATTATATATGTATATTGTTTAGAAAATTGCATAAACAGCGATATGTTATTAACCACTGTTGAAAATTTATTCAATACATGGCGCAAAGACATTTATTGTTTTTTTTATAGCTCATTAACGATGCGTCGTTGCGCGCAGTATGTATCCGGGAAATCTTGTCCTAAGGTCGAAATTAATCGACGACTGCTTCGACGGACGTGGTCATTATACGCTGGCATTAACGAACGGAAAGAAACAAACACGCACCCGGTTATCTCGGTCAGAGACTTTTCACCCGGAATAACTATGAGACGAACGCGAATAGGCTAATTAACTCTGCCATTTTGAGACTTCGAAATAAGACCTCGCATTTGCACACACGTACGTTGCGTATAATAAATATTTATCGACATCGGCTGAAATTCGACCATTTTGTAATATTTCTAAGAGAGAGAGAGAGAGAGAGAGAGAGAGAGAGAGAGAGAGAGAGATATTGGATTTAAAAATATCTCATTATTGCGTTACATATTCTATACGTGTTAATTACAATATATATAATAGTTATTGCTTGAAACTTTTTTTAAAACGTGTTAGAAATTTGGAAAACTTTCAGGAAGAAAACTGTAACTCTCTTAATTCTATTAAACTTCTAAAATAGTTTCATAGAGGCAGATAATTAATTAAGTGAAGTCGAATAATTGAGTTTATCTTAAATATGAGTTTATCTTGAAGAAGTTCATAATCCATGGCTTTAATTCGTTTATGATTCTTCGCTCTTGCTTTTTAAATGAAACGTGTTATCACACCTCCTTAACTGAATGGTTAATGAAGTTGAGAATCTCTTATTCCTTCAAAGCGCTTTTAACTTTATAAGTTTGCTCAGTACGTCGCGTTTCGTTACATATTAAAGACTTCAATTTTCGACCCAATGAGTCCGGAAATGTCTGGGCATCGGTTATCATTTGTCTGCAGTCTCGACTGTGCATCATGAAAATTCGATACAGCTAAATCCTTCTCTAATCTATCCTTCATATCTATATGGTGGTATACTTTAGAATCGTCACAGTCATCACTATATCAGGCCCTTCTCTTTAATACTTCATAAATTTTTATCGGTAATATTAATAGTATTATAACTGCATATCAGAATATTTCTATTCCAATGCATAATGAAACTTATTCGGTATGCGATCGTTACGGCTACATAATGAATTTATTTAAGTAATATTTTATTCGCTTTTAGCCGCAAGTATTTGTAATATCTTTCCAGAAAAAATATTGCGAATTATATTACTGTTCTTTAAAAGAAATTTATTTGATTCTCTGACTTTATTAAACTTTTATATGTATGCGTTATGAGGCTACCGATGGCGCCGTATCGATAAACCTGTTAAAAATAAAAATTAAAAAATTTCGCAACGCCAAATCGGTTAATAATAAAATTTAAATTATACATAATGAGTTATAAATTCCGAATTACTTTTCTCTTCATTTTTTTGAAAAATAACTTCCATTCCGTTATTGTTCAGTATCAATCAATCGTAATAATATTGTCCAAATTGATTATTGCAATCTTGAGATAATTGCTCTATTCATTTTTTGCGTCTATTACTAAATGTTTGCCATTTGTAATATTTGTATAATCAAGTGAACGTTTAAATGTTTGTTTAGAAAATATTTAGGGGATTAAATTTCTCAGGCGTGTTTTTTTGCCCACTTGTTCCTCCTACTGTTCTTAGGACTATCAGCACCCACCGGGGGGAGGGGGGGGGGGTGATAGGTTCCCCCACGTTAGGAACCTATGGCTTAACGCATAGTGCATAAGAGAATTAACCACAATTCTTCTTTTCCGTGAAGTGAAAGGAAAGGAAGGATTCAGAATGATTGATTGATGCGTTGATTTAGATATGTGTCATGGCCCTAAATCTGCAACGGTTTCACTTTGAACATTCCAAAATGAAGTTTTTCACATTTCGACATTTCGGATTTCGCATCACGATATCTCCCTTCATAGGACACGTACAGGTAAAATAAACGCTTATTATATAATTCGGACCCAAGCTGTCGATTGCGCTCATATTCAGAACTCGATCGGTCGAGCCTTTATTAAAAAACCGATAATTTCGGATGCTCGCAACTCGCTGACTCGCGTAAAGACACGGGGCGGTCTCCCACTTGGCGCGAGACACTACCGTGTCTCTCGACAGGATAAATACGTGTCTCCATAATACGCGTATATGTACGGGTATATTCCGTAGGCCACTAAGTAACATGTTTATTATACGTATATGAAAAGTCACGTACCACGTACCGCGCGCATGCATAATACAGTTACGGTCGCGTGTGCACGTAGAACGATGATGCCGATGTGTAGACCTACACAGTCCGCGCGACCGCATTACCATACATATTGATCCATCCTAGAAAACCCGCTCGTAGAAATCGCCTCCCCGCCGAACGTTGGCCCCGGTATATTTTGACAATGTTCGTCTCCGGTTACGCTTCCCGATTTTTTGTGATTTCCACGGTCTATGAGTCATTTCGCTCTCCTGTGTGCGCGTTTTTCGATAAAATAATATACCCATCGCCGGAATTTCCGCGTCCTATTCGCCATTGCGTTTCCGCAATACGTATGTGTTTAGAAATTTTGAATACCCTAATCGGTAAAAGAGAACCTCAATACTTATCGTTAAACAACTAAAGATCCTTATGGCAATACACGTTCGTCCCAAATTCACGCTACGCTCATCCGCTATACACGCGACTCGACGCGGCGCGACGTTATCGTTTACCGTATCCGGAGCACGCTCTTGCAAAATGTCTATTATTTTCTACACGCGGAGAAACGTATGCTTGGAGTATAAAAGGAGACACAGGTGCAACGAAAGGAAAACATATACCTGCTCGTTTAATTCATCGCACGTAACTTGCGATTTATATTCAACAAGACCGGATCGAGAGAGGTCTTGCTATCATATATTAATCGCATCCTCTCGCGATGCGCGTGTTTTCTTAGAACAGAATCCATGGAGGCGTTATATTGCGTGCGTGTAATAAAATGGTTGGTATTAAATGTTAAAAAGAAATGTTAAAATCATTGCGGCACGAGCGAACTCCTCTTGTAGGTGCACACGTCCGACTAAAAGAATTTCGCTGATGACGTCTGATGACATCGCGTTTCGCAGGTGCAGCGCGAATTCCTGTCGCCGCAGATAGTTGCGTAATTCGTGATCCGTATCCGGTTCTAACGAGAACCTACGTTGCGTCTGTCGCGTTAAATACACTGAGAAAAAAATATAGTCAATTTTAATAAATATTTAGTTCAATACTGCCAAACAAACATTTACTTACCATAAATAAATATTTGTTCATTAA